TTCGTTCTGACCAATCAAGTCAGAGCTCCTCCAAAGACAGATGAATCGGCCTGGGAAACTGAACCATTTTCCCAAAAAGAATTAAAGTGCCCTATCAGCCATCATCTGAAAGGAAATCAGGATTATATCTAAGACAACTCCCCAACACACATACCAAAGTTAAGATACTTGAAGTAAAAGTCTCACAGAAATCTGCAAAACAGTCACTAAATTATACCTTTAAAATACTTAAATTTATCTGCATTTACTAAATATCACATAAATAAACCTTAGAAGTTCTTTCAATTAAATTACTTTTAAACGTGTATCATTTTTATAATAGTAACAGAGAGTAAACAAGGAACCATGATTATCTACAGGAAGACTGTATCCAAAAGCAAAACTGAGAATGCAAGACATATTAGAATACAATTATTTTCATTACATTCTGTTTTAAACTCTATTAAAGCAATCATCCTTCAATCAAACAAAAGCACCAGAATTCTTCCAAAGACAAAACAGAATGAATGCACAGAACTAAGGAACAGTGGAATTTGAGGGCTTCCCTGGTGGCGCAGTGGTTGAGAGTCCGCCTGCCAATGCAGGGGACACGGGTTCGTGCCCCGGTCCAGGAAGATCCCACATGCCGCGGAGCGGCTGGGCCCGTGAGCCATGGCCGCTGAGCCTGCGTGTCTGGAGCCTGTGCTCCGCAACGGGAGAGACCACAACAGTAAGAGGCCCGCATACCGCAAAAAAAAAAAAAAAGAAAGAAAGAAACAGTGGAATTTGAAAGGCAAAATGAAAAATTAATGGCACACCTATAGAAACTAATTTATACCTCTACCCATGATACAAGAGCAGAGCACCCATCATTAAAACATCACAAGGACAGCAGTTCTATCTTCCAATAATGTTAAGGAACTATAATTGTAACTATACTGCTGATATCTGTGAAGGAATAATTACCCTAAAAACAAGTTTATCAAATAAAAGGATTTGACATCAAACAATATAAAACTAGGTTATCAAACATTTTTAAAGGTTTTTTTCAAATTAGGGCTGTTAAGCATCAGACTTTGTCTCCCCACATTTTTACAAGTGTCTCCTTTTTGCCCCATTAAAGGCACAAATCTAGTTTCAGTTTTTAATTTCTATTAGTTCTTCCTGATCTTACTTCCCTGGCCACTTGCCTGGGAACAATCCTTAAGACAGCAAATAAACCAAAGAAGAGGCCTGTCTATCTTACTTAAAACCAAGGCCAGAAAGATCAAGAATGACCTATGGATTTTCATCCTGCTGGCACCAAGCCCATCACTAAAAATTACTGCTTTCATTAAGTTTTTGGGAGGGAAAGGAGGAAAGTCAAAACATCATTCAAATTTAACACTTCTATTCTCTGATTTATATTTTTTAAAACATTTGCTTGCTGGTGTGACGGTTTTCTCAATAATTAACAAGGCTTCTATAATTATATTTTAAACATTGATAGTTTTAATTTACACACTTATAGCACTACTCTCTTCATTTTTAAATCAACTACCTACAAAAAAACTGAATAAAAGGCTAGGGTGTGATTATCTAAACACAGTGAATTGCATGATCTGAAAACATACAAGGGCTATACAAAAGTTAAACAGAAATAAACTTCTGTCATTTTGGAAAGAAGATTAAACTAACAAGTGCATCACAATTTTAGGAGTTCTATCTAAACATTCGATTTATTCTAAATATTTCTGTATCCTTTCCTTTGCACATTGCCTAGAAAATTCATACTTTGCACATTCCACACCAATACTATTGTCTAAGGCAGCTAAACTGAAGTAGTTCTGCACTCAGTTCAACTCAGAGGTCAACCTGCCTCAGCTGCCTGGAGACTGATGGTTGCTACAGCAGCACCAGATAAGCCAGGCTAAATAAGCTCCGGCTTCAAGGCAGAAAGTGTTTACTGCTGGACAGAAACACAGATGCAGCTGTCTCGGCATGCAGCATGTGAGTCTCACTGGATGATCATATTTATAAGAGACCCATCTTACTGAAACAGGGAAGAGGATAAACAGTGAAGATTTTAATTGGACTGAATCCTGGATTACTTGAAACTATGATTTCTTTGTTCTTCAGCTGAGTCATATGTTAAGTGGAATTTTCCCTCTAGCTATAAATTTCTCTTCACTACCACTTCCCCCACCCACCTCCCTAAAGCCAACCCCCAAAACCACAAACATAATGAATGGGAAGAAATGAGATTTTTGCTTAATTCAGCCTGGAATTAACCAGAGGGTAATTAAAACAGACTTTTAGAAAGAAAGGAAAGGAAAATGCACATTGAAAATGTTCATGTGAGACTCTTTCCAAGGATATAAAGCTATCAACAGCATATGGTTACACTTAATTAAAAGAGATAAAACTATTAATAAGAGCCATTTTCTCATTTATCCTTTCACCCTCTCTAACCCCAAACCCCTATCATTATGCCTATACCTCACCAAGGCTAGTGAAATGAGCTAGAGAAAAACTCTCCTAAACTAGTCAAACTTCCCTTCTTCAGGTTGAGAAGTTCACCAAATTGTTAACTTTCATTTTCAAAGACAATACCACTAACCATGCCATTGTTTTTCTGTGCTGAACTGTTGTTTATTCTAATTCTTGATCTAATTATAATGGTGACCATTTGCACTACACCATTACATACTTTAAAAATAACTTAATGCTGTGCTCGGATGTACAACTTACAGAAAATGCTGGAAAAGTGTACATATATTCAAAGGCCCGTACAATAGAAATTATGAACACATACATAAAGCAGAAGTTTACAGCAACTTACAAACAACTACTTAACTAGTTGTTTATAATTAGACATTTGTCTTTGTCATAATTTTCTTAAAACTCTGAGACTATTAGAGGCATTGGGTAAAATGAAAATAATAAAATTATAAAGAATTCCCAATAAAGAAAAAATATATATACTTTAGGAATTTTAAATTATTACCCTTGAGGAAACATGGGGGTTGGGGATGGGGAGTGTGTGTGCTTGTGTGTGCGTGCGTGTGCGTGCGCACGTGTGTGTGTGTGTGTGTGCGCACACGTGTGCAGCTGTGCCCATTTACTATCCTATTTATATAATTATGATTTCTCCGGTTTGACTCTGGCTCTTAGAGCATTCCTGTAGACTAGGTCACCCATCAAGTTCCAGATCTAAAATGAAGGAAAAGGATAAATAAATGCAAAACCACCAACACAGTCACCATTATTTATAATATTATAAATATTCCTTCTTTCTCACAAGAAAGAACACCCTATAAGTACTTAAAAGAATCATTCACTCTTAATCCTATATTCTCCTTCACTGGTTTTTAAAACTTTACACCACAGATATTCATATATTATTTCTGTGATTTTAAAATTATGAAAGGAATTTTTTAAACCACAGAAGTCCAAAAGTGGTTCATACTTTGTAAGTCCTACATTTAAAAGAGGGAATAAAAGCTCCCCCCAAATTACTATTTTACATCATTAGGACAAAATCAGGAACTCAGAAATTGAAAAGAATCAGTTGGTGCCAACATATTCTTTTGTGCTCTCCCATGAATATCATGTAAAAATGTGTACTATTTCCACTCGTGTCAATACAGATTGAGATATTTTATAAATTCTTATAGGAAGCCCTATTTCATTTATCTCCCCTATAATCTAACTTACTTTCATTTGCAAATGAAGAAACTGACAAAGGATTAATCTCCAAAATATACAAGCAGTTCATGCAGTTCAATATCAACAAAACAAACTACCCAATCCAAAAATGGGCAGAAGACCTAAATAGACATTTCCCCAAAGAAGACATACAGATTGCCAGCAAACACATGAAAAGATGCTCAACATCACTAATCATCAGAGAAATGCAAATCAAAACTACAACGAGGTATCACCTCACACCCGTCAGAATGACCATCATTAAAAAAATCTACAAACAATAAATGCTGGAGAGGGTGTGGAGAAAAGGGACCCCTCTTGCACTGTTGGTGGGAATGTAAATTGATCCAGCCACTATGGAGAACAGTAAAGAGGTTCCTTAAAAAACTAAAAATAGGGCCTCCCTGGTGGCGCAGTGGTTGAGAGTCCGCCTGCCGATGCAGGGGATCCGGGTTCGTGCCCCGGTCTGGGAGGATCCCACATGCCGCGTAGCGGCTGGGCCTGTGAGCCGTGGCCGCTGAGCTTGTGCGTCCGGCAACGGGAAAGGTCACGACAGTGAGAGGCCCACATATCGCAAAAAAAAAAAAAAAACTAAAAATAGAACTACAATACGACCCAGCAATCCCACTACTGGGCATATACCCTGAGAAAACCATAATTCAAAAAGAGTCATGTACCACAATGTTCATCGCAGCTCTATTTACAATAGCCAGGACATGGAAGCTACCTAAGTGTCCATCGACAGATGAATGGATAAAGAAGATGTGGCACATATATACAATAGAATATTACTCAGCCATAAAAAGAAACGAAATTGAGTTATTTGTAGTGAGGTGGAGGGCCCTAGAGTCTGTCATACAGAGTGAAGTAAGTCAGAAAGAGAAAAAAAAATACCATATGCTAACACATATATATGGAATCTAAAAAAAAAAAAAAGGTTCTGAAGAACCTAGGGGCAGGACGAATAAAAATGCAGACGTAGAGAATGGACTTGAGGACACGGGGAGGGGGAATGGTAAGCTGGGACAAAGTGAGAGTGGCATGGACATATATACACTACCAAATGTAAATAGACAGCTAGTGGGAAGCAGCCACATAGCACAGGGGGATCAGCTCCCTGTTCTGTGACCACCTAGAGGGGTGGGATAGGGAGGGTGGGAGGGAGACACAAGAGGGAGGAGATATGGGGATACATGAATATGTATAGCTGATTCACTCTGTTATACAGTAGAAACTAACACACCATTGTAAAGCAATTATACTCCGATAAAGATGTTTAGAAAAAAAAAGACAAATGGATGTACATATTACTTTGTAACACTGAAATAATTTACCTGAGTTGTAGCAACAGCAGAGGGTGCAGACGACCCAGCAGACGGGGAGAGCGCTCCCACTTGCTGTAAATGCCCAGAAGGTTGCTGAGGTAAATGAGAACTGGAGACAGGAGTACTGGATCCTGAGCCAGATGCTACATTTGGAAATGATACTGCTACATCACTGCTGCTATAAATACCTACAAGAAAAAAATCTTATTTAAATATTTTATAATTTAGCAGTAAAATTGGTCACAGACACACAACAGTAATCAATAAGTTAGAATACCCACATTTCCTCCTGATCCCTCCCACAATGATAAATTTTATTGATGTCAAAAAAGAAAAAAACACAGTCCGGGAAGATCCCACATGCTGCAAAGCGGCTGGGCCCGTGAGCCATGGCAGCTGAGCCTGCGCGCCCCGAGCCTGTGCTCCGTGACAGGAGAGGCCACAACAGTGAGAGGCTCGCGTACCGCAAAAAAACCCCAAAAAACAAAAAAAAACAGTAACTAAATGTATAAATACTGAATTTTCATAAAGCACTTGTCTTAAAGAAACTAAGACTTTTTTTATACGTCAAAGATGATTTGTTAAGAGACAGAGATCACATCAGGAAGTGCTTTGTAAAAATAATAATAAGGGTTTTAGGAATTCCTAAGAGCAGTGACGTGTTTCTGAAATAGGAGAATGAAGAAATTAGAGTTGTATAAAAATCACTTGGTAAGCCTTTCAAAAATGCAGATACTAGAGCTCCAGCACTCATGATTGAGAAGGTATGAAACGGGAAGAGACTCTGTTTTAGAAAGGTCATCCACATTACAGAGCAGAAAATAAAATGGAAAAGGACTAGACTTGATATTCCGAGAACAACAAAGAGCCTGATGCCACTGGTGGGACACAGCAGTGAGAATAAAGAATACAGGTAGATTCTATAGATATTCAGGAGGTAGAATAAACAGGACTTTATGACTGACCAAATGGGGTATCTAAAGTAGCAGTCGGGGTGGCCAGAGAACAGAGGATTAAGAGATGATGGTGACATGGAAAGCTAGGTGGTGGTAGCATTCACTTCAGAGAACACAGGAAAAGAGGAAAGAGATTCGAAAGCATTTTCAGTAGCACCACAGGGTTAAGAAGCCAGAAAGAAAGAGTAGAAGCAATTCACTCTAGAAAAGTGGATGGACAGAGGACAGAAAGAGAAAATGAGCAAAAGTTAAGCAGAAACTAGGAGTTACTTTAAAAAGTGTTCTGTGGGTTTTTTTTTTTTTTCCCCAAGATGGGAGATCATGCTCTTATGCTGATAACAGAGTCCACAGAGAAGGAAAGGCTCTTTGAGGATAAAGGTTAAGAGACAGGAATCTCTATAAACCAGTAGGGTTCTGAACCAGGGGTGATTCTGCTTCACAGGAGACATATGACAATGTCTGGACACATTTTTGGTTGTCAAAACTAGGAGGTACTACTGGCATCTAGTAGGTAATGGCCAGGGATGCTGCTAAACATTGTACAATGCACAAGACAGCTCCTCACAACTAAGAATTATCTGGCCCATAGAGTCAATAGCAATGGAAGCTGAGAAATCTTATAATAAACTAGGGCTCTTGGGAGGGTGGGAGAGAATAAGACCTTAAGAACTTGACACTATAAACAAGAGGAAAGCAGTAAAAAAGAACCTAAGTATGCCACAGTCAAAAAAAATTTTTTGAGAAAACACAGTGCTTGGTTATATCAACAGTAAAATTTACTTTGTTCTAAAGAATATAAATATTATTGATTCATAATAAATAAAAGTACCTATAATCTTCAAACAAGGGGAATACAAAAATTGGGACATTTTTAAAGGCCTTACAACTATAATTGAGGCTCCTAAGATCCTTTTTATATCTACAATTTCTCCAGAATAATGATAATTTATCCACTTAACAAATACATTCATTCCACAAACATCTGAGAGCTCACTGTTTGCCAGACATTATTCTAAGCCCTAGAGATACAAAGCCATTCAAGATATGTGGTCTCTGCCTTCAAGAAGCTTAGTGGAAAAAAGAGACAATTACAAAAGGCCGTGAAGAGTACTATGATAGAGATATCCTCAGGAGGCTGTGAGTGCATAAAGAGGGTTATCTAACCCAGACCTGGAGTGAGAGAGGATGGGGTCAAAAAGCGAACTGGGAGAGATGGGTGCCTTTAAAGCTAATTTCTAAAGGAGCTGCAGGACAGAGGTGAAGGGCATTCTGAGGAAGAAACATGCGCCACAGAGCCAAGTAGATTCTAAGAACTTATAAGTGCCATCCGTGTAGCTTAAGCAAGAAATGAGGCTAAAAAATAAGCAGGAATCAAATCAAGAAGAACATTAAAAGTTAAAATGTTAGGGCTTCCCTGGTGGCGCAGTGGTTGAGAGTCTGCCTGCTGATGCAGGGGACACGGGTTCGTGTCCCAGTCCGGGAAGATCCCACATGCCGTGGAGCGGCTGGGCCCGTGAGCCATGGCTGCTGAGCCTGCACGTCCAGAGCCTGTGCTCCGCAACAGGAGAGGCCACAACAGTGAGAGGCCCGCGTTTAGTGAAAGAACCCCCCCCCCAAAAGAAGCCATATTCTGAAGATACTTTCAAATTTAAAGATAAAAATTCAACAGGCTCCATCAGGTAATAGAGATTATTTTCAATAGATAAGAATGGCTGATGTGTAACTTCTCTGAAATATTAAATACCCCAAGAAAATGGGATCTAAGGAAAAGATTGTTACCTAGGAATCCTGGCTGACTGTAAGAAGGACAAAAAAGCAGACATTGTGGGATATGCAAGGGCTCTGAAAGCATACCCATTAGCAGAGTCTTTCTTTAAAAAAAAAAAAAAAAAAGTTAAAAAGTTAAAAAGTTAGAGACAATAGGAAGCTGCCAAAGTATTGTAAGCAGAAGTCTGGTGTGATCAGATTGGTGTTTCAGCAAAACATAAATAAATCACTGGTACAAGGCTGAGAACAGACTGGGGAGGGGATTTAAACAGAGGCTGAGAAAGCTGTTAAGGGCTGCTACAATGATACTGATGAGCAAAAATAATATTTTAAAAAAACAAACCTAAGGTAACACCAGTAATGAGACATTACAAAGACAACATTCATAGGACTGGTAACTAATTAGATATGAAGAATAAAAAAGAGCAAAGAGTCAAAAATGACTCTTAAACACCAGTAAGTGATTGTGAGAGTGGTAACATTCACTGAAGTAGAAACAGCAACTGAGAGTATCCAGCACTTGTTACTATGTGTAGGTCACTGTGCTAGGACAACAGACTAATGAAGTAACTATTACTCCCATTTTACATATGAGCAAACAGAAGTTTGAAGAAATAAACTAATTCCTTTAGTGACCTAGTAGATGGTAGAACCAAGAGTCAAACTCATAGCCATGTGACTTTACAACCAAAACCACTTCCTAATTACATGTTTGAGGTTGAGGCTGATCATCACAGTCTTTGAGATGCCTGTGAGACACAAAACTCCTAGATCATCTAAAACAGAATGGGATGAGCCTGAAGCTCAGCAGAAAAATCAGGTCTGGAGATACAAATCAGGAGTCAGAAGGATGACAAAGAATAAGTAAATGTGAAAACTCAAAAAGGCTTATTGTTGGCCTGCTAACTAGTTCATATTTAGAAACATGGAAATTTCACATTAAAAAGTCTAGATTTCTAACTTCTGAAAAACCTGAAGCTCTGTCAACACTGGATACTATATTCTGAAATAGCAAAAATCCGCTGGAGCTCTGGACAGGGAACTGAGTCTTTAATCCACCAGAGTCCCACCATTCCTTATGCTTCACCTCTTTGTCACTCATTTATGTTACCTACCTAGCTCCTGTGTTTGATTAAAAACCTGTGATATAGAAGCTGGTCAAAGGCAAGGCAAGGAAAAATGAGATCACCAGGGAAGTTCTCGGTGTGATCAAGAGAAGAGGACTAAAGACAGGACCTAGAGAACATTACCATTTAAAGGGTAGACAAAGAAAGACGGACCACAAAGAACAAAACAAGGAAACAGAGAGAATCTTAGAAACCACCTAAGAGAATTTCAAAGGAAAAGGTCAAATGATTCTATTGGTCATTTAAGGTAAGGCCAGAAAAAGAAGTCATGAAAAGTAACAAGAAATTTTGGCAAGGTAACTCTTTTAAGAAGTTTGGCTGTGGAGGACAGAAAAGAGCACATAAATGTAGTGAATATTTATAAACCTACATTCCAAAGGACAGGCCCGTCGGTGAGGGAAAAAAAATTGTTTTAAGTTGTTTAGCCCATAGTTCTTTCAACAAATACTTACTGAGGTTCTAATAATAATTTTTAAAAAGGCAATGAAGATAGCAAAGAACAGAAAGGAATTCATCCTTCAAAGAACTTATAGTCTCACACAGAGCTAATAAGTACTCCCAAGCTACTATGATACAGGAGGGAAATGCTAAATACCATAAGGACATATGATACAAAAAATGACTTAAGTTCAGAGGAAGAGACTGGGGTGGAAGAGTTCCAGAGAGAAGTACATGAACTCAGCTTTTTCAAAGTACCTTAAAAGGTAGAGTGCTGATTTTTTTTTAATGTCGAAAAGCATACTATACGTGGAATCTCCAATTCCCAAAACTAAAAGACAAAAGTGAGCTGGAGGCAGTAGGCTGAAATCACAACAGGACAAGTTTTTTTTTTTTTTTTTTTTTTTT